AAAAACAAAAACAGACAACCCAGTGTTTTAAATGAGCAAAAAACACGGCAGGCATTTCATTAAAAACAATTCCAAATTGCCAATAAGCATAGAAAAGTTACTCAACATCATTAGTGTTTAGGAAAATACACATTAAAAGAGGATCAGTGTCACCGCATACTCATCAGAATGGCTGAAATTTTAAAGAGAAACAAGCAGACGACATCAGCGTTGCTGACTGTGGAGCACCGGGAACCCTCCCCAGCGTCGGTAGGAAGTGAGTGTCGCACGCGGCTTCAGAGCTGCCTGACGCACCTGCCCCTGTGGCGCGGAGCAGAGCTGTGCGTGCCAGGACTGGCCCCTTCCCTTGCTAGACACGACTGCAAAGTGAGTCATCTGCCTTACAACAGGTGGATAGCAGGTTCACTCACAATATCTAAAAACTGAAAATAGCCCAAACGTTCGTCAATTATTGGACAAAAACATGGGTGATTCTCACACAGACAATATGCAGTGAGATAAGCCAGAATCAAAACACTATATACTATCCGATCCCGTTTATATAACGTTCAAGAACAGCCAAAAGATGTGTGTGATGCTAGACGTGAGAAGAGAGGTTATATTTGGTGGTACCGATGGTATTGGTGGGGAGGGAGTATCAGGGAGGCCTCTGGGGGGCAGACCATAGTCTATATCTTGATCTGAATGGTGCTCATGAGGCATTTACATTTGTAAAAATTAATTAAGATATCTGCTTACCACTCGTGGACATTACTGTCGGTATGTTATACGGTCATGCATCACTTAATGACACGGACACGTTCTGAGAAATGTGTTGTTGTGCACACATCACGGAGTGTGCTTACACAAGCCTAGATGGTATAGCCATATAATCTTATGGGACCACCATCATATATGTGGTCTGCCATTGACTGAAGTGTTATGTGGCATGTGGCTGTTCTTTATTTAAAAAGCTGATTTTGGAACTTTATAATGGACTGATCAAACTGACATCTGAACACAATGACCAATCTTAATTCACAAAACAAGGGACAGCCAGATATCTTGCGCTTGCTTGCAATGAAAGCACACTTATAAGGTATACTTGTTTCAATAAAAATAAATAAATACTGAATTCTTATCAAGCCCTAGAACTACCAATTTACAGGAAGTTCAGC